GTTAGATTTTTCATATTGACAAATGTCATTTTGAACGCTTTTTATTAAAAAGGTAAAATTGTTTATCGTTTTTTTAAAGAGCTCTGGGCTGTATTGGCATGGATACCACGATGGCATAATTTTTATATATTTGTTTAAAAAGAAAAGCCATATATCTCTCTTCCCTTCCCAATTCAGGCAAAAATTAGTTTGAAAGAACTTGTCCAGTAAAAAAAAACATTTAAACATTTTTACGACTTATTAGCTGGGCCGTCCAGAGGCGGGGGAGGGAGGTCACTAAGTACATTTTACTTAGACACACAGAGAAAGGGGGACTTGCAACCCTCAATAAAAGATTTTATTAAAAGTTTTAATTATCATAAAGACTCTTTGGAAAAATTTGAAACATAATCTATAAGATTCTTATTACAATTAGAATTTTCTACATCAGACTTCAAATATTTATTATTCTAAGTTTAATTCAAAATAGAAGAAAAATTGTTACTATCACTGAATGAATATATTTTATTAAACAATAATACACAAAATGCGTATGCATTTTTATATATATATATATATATATATATATATATATATATATATATATATATATATATATATATATATATATATATATATATATATATATATATATATGTATATATATATATATATATATATATATATATATATATATATATATATATATATATATATATATATATATATATATATATATATATATATATATATATATATATATATATATATATATATATATATATATATATATATATATATATATATGTTTATTAGGGTGGATTGAAAAACAGACTTTTTTTAAAATTGTTTTCTAATAGCTCTCAATATATGCAATATAATAAAATATCACTAGATTTACAAAAAATTTCGAAAAAAATATGTCTTTAGAGGTGCCCTAAGTCCCTTGAACATTTATAGGGTCCCTAATACTCTGGGAATTGTTATTATTGATTGTTTTTTTAATTGTTATTGTTGATTGCTTTTCGTTTTTTTAATAAAGTATTGTTTTAATTACACATTTGCGTATTTCATTCTCCCCGTATGTAGGTGTTGAATGGAATAAATTTTTTTTTAAGTAAAGTTTTAAGTAAAGTTTTATAAAAGACTTTATTATTTTTTTTTTTTTTATTCAAATACAGTTCAACATTCTTTACAATTTTAAAAATTTTTTTTTTTTTTTTTCCGTAAAAAATAAATAATTAAAATCCTTAACTATTCCATTTTACTACATATTATCAAAATTTACCCTTTTTACTCATTTTACTCATTTTACTCATTTTACTTTTTACTCATTTTATTACATATTATCAAAATTAACCCCATTTTACTACATATTATCAAAAAAACTTAAAAAAATGCTTTTTTTTTATTTTTTGTTAAATTACCATCGTTAATATGTAATAAAATTAATAATAATGATTTTTTTATGAAATAAATATTATTTTTGAGCTTTTTATCAAATTTCGCTTCTTTTGAGTACCTATTTTTGTAGAACTTTTATTACAAAAATATCAGGGACAGTGTAAATGACTTGGGGCACCTCTAAAAGTATTTTTTATTCTAATTTTTTTTAAATCCAGTGATAATTTATTATATCGCGTATATTTAGAGCTATTACAAGACAGTTTTGAAAAGTTTCTGTTTTTCAATGCACCCTAATGTTTCCTGGGTATGAATGTTTATATTACTTTTATTTTAAATCAGTAGAAATATACCATAGTTTCACATTTTTATTTTCAGCATTTTGCAAAATCTTCATGTATTTTAAAACGGATTATGTAAATATTTGCTTTTATATAAACATAGACAATATGTAAACAGGGCTCGGTGATAAGACTTCTTCTTACTCTGACTTAAATTTATATATGTAGTATGTATTTATTGTAAATTTATAGTATGTATTTATTGTAAATTTATTATTCAAAAAATACCTCGTTACCTCCTACAAAAAACTCAAAATTTAAACTTATCTTAAAAAACTCATTTTACATACAAACAGTTATATGGAAATATATTAATATCTTATGATTAATAAAAAATAAAAAATATGCAAAACAAAAATTCAAAAGTTTTAAAATATAAGCAAGTATGTATACAAGTATAGCTTATGTATATGTTATGCTTCATAACTTGACTAGCTGTATTGAAAAATATAACAATTCATAAATAAAATAATTATGAGTATCTCATGAAATTAATAATATATAAGTTCTTGATGGCAAGACTTCACTCAGTTTTTTGCGAGCTCTCCTTTGACAACCAAACTAAAAGTTTCTCTTATACCCTTATCTTATTTTTCAAATTTTAAATTGTAATATTATTTTACATAACTATATAATTTGTACAATAAACAACAATCTTAATATTATCTTAACTATATAAGAAGTATCTTTGAATGTACTTGTAGTTAAAGTAGCATATATTGTTAAAACTTGTAAAAAACTATGTAGTTGAAAAAAATATATGAAAAAAAAAGAAAACAATCTACGATTTTGAAGGAGGAATTTCTGAATGAAAAAATATTTATAAGTATTTATTAATCAGATCTTTTTTTAATGCAAAATAATTATTGACAAAATTCGTACTTCAATCTCAAAATATCCAATAATTTAGGATCAAGAGGCGATTCAACTGGGTGATCAAGCAGTTAGAAACAACCCCGCTTTGCGGAAGAGGGTTTTATCTAAATTCGAACCCATACTAAAGGACCACCTCAATATCCGGCACTTTTTCCAAGAGATTCTACAAACAAAAAAAAGTTCCTGCCTCCGTTTTTTTACGAAACTTTTCTAAACAGAGAGAAGTTTAATAGGGGCTGGCTTATCTAAAGTGGAACTGCAGAAGCTTTCTTTTGTTTTCCCTGCTCTATTTTTGAACAAAAACATAATTTTGGCTGTAGATCTCAGTCTTTCCTCTTGATGTGGAATGGCGGAATAAAAGATAATTGGTGAAAGCTAGGAGAAAAGAATAAAAGCCTCCAATGTAATGTTCTA